TCTTCAAGACCCACCTGGATGCTCCTGAGTGATGTGCTCTGGGCAACCCTGCTTTGGCAGGGAGTTGGACTGGATGATCTCTAGAGGTCCCTTCCAACTCTGACAATTCCATGATTCCATGAATTATAAAAAGGGAGATAGAAGGATGTGTTTTGCACCTGGAGGAGAAAGTAGCCGTGTCTGTTTCGAAGCAGTGGGGGTTTTTCATGCAGCTCAAGGATGGTTGCTCCGTCACCTCCCTCCTACCCGAGGTGTCTGCCAGCTGTCCCCGAGCTTTGCAGACCCTTGGGTGGGTGTCCTGTACAAACTGTCCCCCAGAAGGAAGGGGACACCATGCAGTGCCGGGGGGTGAGATGTGTTCAGGCTGCCCTGCTGCTGTTTGATCCAGGAACAGGGATTTTCTGCCCAGGAGCCGTCCCCAAACTGCTGCGCCCAAGGCTGTTGTGTATCAGCACTAAATACCGTGCTGCAATTCTGCTCAGGGGGGTTTTCCCCCAGCCACCTCGAGCTCTCAGAGGTTTTGGTGTCATTTTTGCCATTTCTGGGCTTTCCTGCCAGCTGTGTCCCTGAGGTCTGGGGTTTGAGTGACGCACAGTGATTTTTCAGGGAGGGCTTTTCGCACGATCTGACCACATGGCACTTTTTCTGCCGGTGGGTGGTTAACACGTTCTGAAAAAGGAAGAGCCGGACCAGAGGCCCGAAAAGTCCCTTTTTGGAAACGCTCTCGATGTGTTTCTCTGTTGGCTTTTCACAGCTACTGGGCGAGTGGCTTTTCCTGCCTTGCGTTCGGGTGGCGTGGCTGGCCCATCGCACGCGCCTTCGCTCTGGTCAGCAGCAATTTTTACATGAATTTCTGTCTGATAGATTTGTAGTGGTTTATTTAGTGCTTGTTCTTCCCAAGCCTCTTCCTTTTCTTTTCCATCCTCCCCATCCAAACCCACCCCGCCCGATACGCTGCTCCTTTTCACTTTCCAGTTTACCAAGCTAATACTCATGAAAGTGAGATGTTTTGCAAGGAATTGTGTTTCTTTTCCTTCTCTGAGATAACCAGCAATGCTAATTCACCTGCTAGAAGGGGTGACACCCTTTTCTGTGGAAGCCTGTCTGTATTTCTACCAACGTCCCAGCCAGCAGCTCCCTGGGGCAGCTGTTTCCTCGGGACCTGAGTGGGGCTGGACGGGGCAGATAAAAGGTCCCTCTGCCACCGTAACCGGCTCCCAACGGTGCCCAGTGGCAGAGCTGTTCTAAAGGTGGTAAGAAGGTGGCAAACCCACAGCAATGCTGCCCTGCTCCAGTTTTCCCAGCAGCTAGTGGCCTCTTGGAAAGCAAAACCTTTTGCTGTCAGATGCTGGGCAATGGGAACCTCCCCGGGCTCCTCCCCAGCAGCCAGAGCCGGGAGGAATTCACCTCCTGGCACCTTATCTGCCCGCTGCTCCCGGTCTCCCCCCTTATCAGCAGGCAGGCTCCTCGCAGCCTTAGTGGCCGGGAGGTTGCTGAGAAAGGGCAGCTTGTTATTTTTCAAACTTTTAGCAAATACTCTGCAAATATATATAATTTTTTTGCCGGCCCAGGTGTGCTTTTGCATTTAAGTTGCCGAAGTCACCATTCTCTTCCCTTCCCCGCGCTCAGACGCAGCTCGAGCACTTTGCAGGGGTCCTTCCAAGAGCAAGTTACGATATTTTGCTTTGTCGGACAGGTTTTGGTCTCAGAAGAGGCGTTTTGGTGGGTGATACAATCTGATCCAAGACTTTCTCATGCCCCGCAGGGCTGCACGCCTGGGCAGATGCTCCAGGGCGGTGGGAGGCTCTGCAGAACCTGTCTGCTCCTCCTGCCCTCCCACTCCCCAAAACATCCCATTCCTCTGAAAGGGG